CATCTATGTCAGTTTTGGGCTAGTTTTAGTTGGCTGATTTTTCACCTTTTTATATATTTTTCTGCTTCCCTGCATGCTTTTGCACTGAATGTCAGATGGGACTTTTACTTTATTACATGCTAGATAAACTTGTATTCCTCTTTGTCTTTGGGCTTTGTTGAGGGAAGAGATTCCATTATTTGGAAATGATTTTATACTTTTTGATCTTGTTTTTATGATTAGTTAAGCAAGATTAGTGTACCATTTGGTTTATGGTCAATTATTTCTCATAAGTGAGTCAAGATCCAATCCAGTGCATCGTGAATTATGAGGTTTTCCAGTATGTCTGGCAGCAACAGGCACTGTTCCCAGTCCTGTGAGAGTACTGGTTCTTATTTCCTCTAATCATTTTGGATGGTTCTTTCTCCAGTCTTAAGGAGTTTCCTTACCACAAAAGTAAAAAATAACAAAACAAGACAAAATGATGTAGGAGGAAACTTTTGGAGGAGATAGATAAGTTTAGGTCATTGATTGTGATGATGGTTTATGGGTATTTATTTGTCCATAAACATATCAAGCTGTAGAAGTTAAATATCTATAGCTTGTTGCCTATCAATCATACCTCAATAAAGTGATTTAAAAATAATAAATTCTCTCAAAAAATTAATTTAAAAAAGGTGTTTCCTTACATGCATACACTGACCAGTACTTTATTGAATACTTAAGGGGGTGGGCTCTGCAGATTCATGGGGTTATTTCTCTGTGCACTTCTCTCCTCACTGATAGTCTTCTCTATAAGCTCTAGGTGCCTCAGTATCCCAAACTCTCAGCTCTGTGCCCTCAACTCAGGAAATCTGCCCAGTTCTGCCTAAATTAGCTCTCCCTGAATCACTACGTGGAAACTTTCTGAAGTTTGTAAAATGGGGCATTCACATTTGATTCTCATCTCTCAGAAATCACAGCCTTTTTGCCTGAGGTCTAGTATCTTAACAATCATTGTTTTATATATAAATGCTTTTTTAAAAATTCAGGCGGTAGGTAAATCAGGCCTCTATTAGTCTATGTTGTAAGCAAAAGTCTTAGTTTAAAAAGAAAAGAAATTCTGTTTTATCAGGGACCACTTTTAGTCTTACCTGCCCTAACCGCCAACTCTTGGTTTACCTCCTGATTTTGAAAGTCTAATTTAAGCATAATATTTGCACCAACTATGTCGAGCAGCCAGAAAGAAGAAAAGAAACCAATTATATTTCTTCATTTTTATTCTGTACATTTCCACACAATTCACAATACAGAAAAAAGTGTCCAAAAAGTAATTGTAACTAGTCAATTTCTTTTTCAGAGATTAGTTCAGTCTCCCAAATTAATTCCATTGAAAATCTCTGTAGAGCAACACAGTGATCAAGATACTTTATATAAATAGGAAATGCAAGAAAATTAGGGAAAAATACTTTATGACTTTGTTACAAAAAACTTCATTCTTCCCTTTCCCATCCCACCCTTCCCACCCACCCTCCCGCCACTGCATATTACCTGGATCCCACTTTACCTGGAAATAAAACTTCACTTTCTACTGCCACAGCTGCCACCTTTTATTTGATTCCACCTGCCAGCTGGCAGCTTTGCAAAAGCATGGCTCTGGGATGTGATAGGGCAGAATCAGAAATCATGAAAGAGCCCTTTATAATGTGACTGCAACTCTTCCTACAGATGTAGCCTTTGTGAGTGGACCACCCACAGCCAAGGGTACCCTGGATGCCTGGGAACTTTTTCCCACTCGGAAATCAAATTAAGTCAAATATACTCATTTTGGTGGAGCTGAGATTGTCTGTTATTCCTCAATCTTTTTTATGGGAATAGTTTTCCTCACTTTCAATAAGCTATGGTCTGTATAATATTCAGAATCATGGTTACTCACTCAACCATTGGTCATTTTTAAAACAGCAAAGCTAACCTTTACTGAGACTCATTTGGACCTTAACTTTTCAAAGATGTATTTTGTAAAATATTCTATTGCATTAGAATATTTTGTCCGTAGGAATTCTAAATCTCATTCTCCAGGATGGTAGAAACCCATACCTTTCCCAACCTACAACCAGGATGTTAGCAAGCATCAAAGTTCTAGTTGCGTTAGAAATTTTGCACGCATGGGGCTAGAGTTTCAATCCACCCAGTGGGGGTGGGGTGGGGAGGATTTATTGTTAATAAAACCAAAAGGTTTATTAACAATTCAGATTCATTATACAAGACGCAGAAAATATCAAGGCTAGAAGGTATCTAAAAAGTGATAAATCTCACCAACACATTTGTGAGAATTATCCATAAATTTGCAACACAAACTAGGGTAAACTGACTTAGGGGCTGTCATCTGTATATTTTTTTCTTTTTAACAAATAAAGGCAATTTGTAAACATCTCCTGTATCTGTCATTTTAAGAAGAAATGTTATGTTTAAACTCCAAAATAACAAGGTCACAGTCTGAATTTTTAAGAAGTGAATATATTCAGATTTGGGGGGGGACTTCTTCAATATTCCTTATTTTTCTCAAATTTTTCATAGACCAGCACAAGTCTGTGGATAGGTCTAACTTCCTATAACTAGTTGGGGTAACTCCTTCACAAAAAAAACCCAATCCAGTCCTTTGGAGAGCTCTATTAGAAAGTTCTACAAGCTGAACTTGTTTGTCCTTAAGTTCCATATATAATCTAATTCTTCTATGATGCATGAATTGAAAATTTCACCACTGATACTCCTTGAAGCTATCTCAACAAGTTCAATATTTTTCTGTATGTTCTGACTTTGATTTTCATGTAGGGCAATATCTGCTGAGAGTATATATCACTTATTTGTGAGTTGCCATGAGAATCTGTGCTAGGACTAGAGTTTCTTATGGTACTACTCTTGAGAATCTTTTTTTCCTTTGCTCATAACCCTGCTCTTCCTTTTCTTTCCCAAGCCAGGAGCAAAGTGTGGGGCAAGGGAGATAGTGGAGTGGAAGTAGCTCTCTGAGCAAGACTCTGGATATGGGCTCATTTCCTAAATTCACCTTGAGTGACTTCCTCCCCCAGCCAGCAAACTTGAAATCTGGGCACTCAAGGCCTTATCATTATGGAAATAAGGGAAGATGAGCAATTAAAACTGTAATCCTCTTAGAAATATTATAGAAACATTAGCCCAGTGATATCAGGGCAAGTCTTATTTAATGACAAAAGGTTATAGAAAGTGCCTCCATGCCTCTTTATTACCAGAAAATATAGAAATTCTCAGTCTCTTCTCTGAGTTCCACTCCCGACTGTATACTCCAAACAACAAATGGGTAGTAAGTAGGGAAAGGAACACTAAATCCTTTGTTTTCACTTTAATTCCTGAATTTGTAATCTTTTTGCCTTAGTGGAAACATATCTTTTTCAGGAGATTTGAAGACCGGCCAGCAACTGGCAAAATGAGTGTATGCACACGTGTGTGTGCGTGTGTGTCCCTATAAACGAAGCAAATTTTTAGAGTTGTGAAGTTCTGCTTATAAGTGATTTTTGGGATAGATTTACAATGAGTGATATTTTCACAAAAATGGTTCATTTTCATCTGTTTGGTAGAAATCCGGGGAAAAAATGGATTCTGGGTTCTGCTCCAGTCTAAAATCATAGAAATCTAAACCTGGAAAAACATCAAAGTTTTTTTTCAGTCTAAAATTCCTCACAATTAAGGATAATTAAGGATTTGCTTTTATATGCCCCCTGAGTTGGTTGTTCAATCTTCACTTAAATGCTAGAAGAACCACTAGTAGTGGTTACTTTCCCTCCACTTTTCAGAAAGCCCAATTGATTTTTCTGGATGCAATGTTTAGGAAAAAATAAATCCTTATATTAATATTAAAGCTACCTTCTTTTCATGCATGTTCCTGTTCTCTTCTGTCCTTGTTTCATTCTACAAATCATTTGCCCCAGAGAACTTGAATCTAAGAGTCCTATTTACCCTAACACCTCTAAATATTCTTATTCCTAATTCAATTTTTTCTTCTGTCCAGCTCAAATATCCCTCTTTGACATATTCACCAATCTGCCGATAGATGTCCCTTGTAAAATAGAGATTCACAACTGAAAGATATTTCAAGCCTGTTTATTCTTTCCACTTAAAGTAAAGCATAATTTCCCACAGGTCTATTAGACCTCTCTCTATATGACTATATACGATAAACTCAGCTTGCATACCCACCCATAAACTTAAAGCAATAGAGTCTTGAATGTCAGGTCCATTTTAAACACTTTTTGGTGCAGCATTTTGAAATAATTTCATTCTAATAGTCACTTCCAAAGAGGAAAAATAATACTAACATTTTTTAAATGTTGAGAATCACAAATAAGGTAGAAAATGCATTAACTCCTACCATTAATTTCTTCCCACGAAATCCACCCTGGTATGCAAACATTTGACCTTTTTTCCTTGAAATATGTCCAAACGGACAAACCTCTCTCTGATAGGAAAGAGTTTTTGATTTCACATTCCCCCACAGTTCTAACCAACTCTTGCTACAAGATCTTAGGTAAATATGTTTTTCATGGAGCCGCCTTCTATGCTATGGAAATCTGAACAATTGATGTAAAACATCCTTGAAGGCAATGGTGGAAAATTATTTACTTGGAAAACAGGTTAATCTGTTAAGTTAATTTCTAAAGACCGCAGTTCTAGCACTTACTGTATGAATTTGTGCAAGTTTAATTCATTGCTCTAAAGTGTATTATCTGCATTATCCACCTCATGGGGTTGTACTGAAGTTCAAAAGCGTCAGAAGATGCATCAAAATGTTTAAGCACTAATATTTTAAAAATTACTGAAATTGTTATGAATAAACAGTATAGATCTGAGTGTTTCATCTATTAAATAGTGAAAGCTATATGTGTATTTCACTAAAGGGTTGAGAAATAAGATGGTTTCACTTTTTCCAACAACCAAAGTCTCCCATTTCAGAATACCACTTGGCTCAAAATATTGAACTTTTGAAAGCTAGGGGAAAACCTGGATCACCATTTTTTTTTTTTTTTATTTCCATGGGTAGGTTGTCTCTTGTAATTACCATGCTGGTAGCAGAAGCCAAGGAATTTTCCATGATTGCCTTTCATGTACATATTTACTTGGCTCCAAAATGTCTTTTAGCAGAATTTTCTTCTGTGGTTATTTTAGATTACACTTAATTCTAAGAATATCAAATCACAGCACTTTTTTATATTGGATGGACGGTAAGACAGATTTCTAATAGGACTTTACTTAACAAGGCCTAAGAATATTCATCAAAATCCATAATGCTTCCAGAAGTATTTTGGATTAAGTTACACCTCTTAGTATGTTTTCTTTTTACTAGCTCTTAAATTCATGCTTCGTTGGTTTCAAATTTTTTATATGGTAACTAGAGGCCATCCCTCCCCCAAAGATTTTAAAGCTTCTGACTTATAAAGTGATGTTTTTAAAGATTAAAAATCAAGATTTCAATGAGTTTTTGAAAATGAAATCCTGCCATTCAACAAAGCCACTTTAAAAGAAACTTTTTAAAAATCATAGAATCTAATTCCAGCTCCCCCAAATCACATGTCCCTAATCACAACACCCCTCAAGGTAGGTTGTCTGCCAGGTATCTTCTGTTTGAATGCTCCCAGGGGCTAAAAGTTTATAACTCTGAAAGGATGCTCACTCCCACTATTAAACAATATTTATACCTCTTTTTCTTTATATTTAGTCAACACCCACTGCAAATTATGTTTGTTATTCCTACATCTGTCCTTGAGAGCTATAATAAATGAGTCTTAGCCCTCATTTAGTAGTGTTTCTATGTCTTATCTTAAAGTCTTCGTTTCAAATACACTTTCAAGAACACTACCAAGACTCCAGGAAAATGGAAAGACAAACTATCATTATTTTTTTCTAGTTAATATTTGTTTTCATAGAACCACAACATTGCTGACTAGTGAGGGGTTGGTACAATAAAGCCTTGGTTGAGCTTCCAGCACATGCTGGGTACCCTGGAGTTCTGCACAGAACTCATCACCGTGGAACTTGTACTTTCTCCTAGATGCCAGCGCCATGCAGTCCAGAGTTTTGTCTATTGCATTCGTTGTTATATCCTTAGCATGGCGCCTGCATCAGAGTGGTAAATATTTCTCCAATAAATGATTAAATATACGCATGTATGATTGGTGCATGAATATATGATTGCATGCATAATGACTGAATACATATATAAATAGATTCTGGAATCTATCCATCATGAGGCTATCATCCAATATTCAAATTTTTACTTTAAAATGTATGCTTCAATGGTCTAAGAATTATTTTTTCTGCTCTCTTTTGGGGACCAGTTCAGTGAATCTCATTGTCCTGGGAGAGCACGTCCATGGGTACGACTCTTTGCTTACTGTTAGCTTTCTCATTAAACTGTGGGGAGACAGCCTAAAACTCCCCAGCTGACCCTGAGGAGTAAAAAACTATTAATATGCCATCTAGTCTTCTAGGTGATGTCACAGGGCACGCTGCTTACATCACTGTGGAAGTGGCAGCCATGATTGTGGACTCCCATATGACAAAGATGGATATTTGCTAAACCTGACAGATTATGTTTCAGAATCATGTTTGCCATAATCCTATAAGATGATCGAGGCCAGTGCACATCTATTTGTCCTTTGGGCAAAATGGATACTTGCCCCAGAGGGTAATTTCATTTTGATCCATTTTGAGCACAATATCTGGGGAAGAATTTGTCAGCTGTATGACAAAATTATCAATGGTAGTGACAGAAAGTTCAAGAGCAGAACTATTGTAGCTAGAAAATTAGAGGGCTAAGAGATGAGAGATGAATGGGATACAGAAGAAGGTGGGGCCCTGGTCAGTCTGAGAAGCTTCGCAGAGAAAGAACTGCAGGACTTCTAATCAGCTGAGCATGAAACTCAGGGTGAGAAGAATTGAGAGATTCAGTTAAGATGTGGACAGAAGTGATTTTATACTAAATCAATGTTAAAGATTAATCAGAAAGCTAATTTAATAGATATTGTTGTACTTTTTCCCCCCTAAAATGAACATAATTCATTTACATAGAGCAAGTAGTAATTTTATTTGATGGTTATGATGAGCCATTTTAACAAAATACTATTTTTATTTTTAAATAGCATAATTGAACAAAATAATTAATTTCATGCTGTTCTCAGTGATTTCATTACTACTCCCACTAGAAGGAAGATAAGCTGCTCAGACCCTACCCTACATCCAACTTACTACCCCTTCCTGGCAGTCACTTGCCCTAATTAAATATCATTAAGCAACCTACTGGGTGTGAGTTTTGTAAACTCAGCCTTGTAAAGTGGTGTAAGGATCACAGAGGGAGGAACTCTCCTTTACTTGAAATCCAAAAATAGCACAGGTAAGTCTTGGGGCTAAGATAGGTTTCATGCTTCATGGAAAGCAACAAAAACAATTACAAGAATGTGTGGTCATGGGTTTTACGACACAGGCAGTAGCAAATGCCATGTGCAGTTATAGTGATGCAGTGGTAGAACTAAGCTTAGTAATAATGGAAACAAAAAATAAATGAAAATTCTCCTTTACCTTATCTATCTTTGCCTGTTGGTCTTAACTATACATATATACTGATGATCAGCACTCTTTTACAATTATTCTCTTTTCTAAACCTATGAGATATATGGGTGTACAGTAGATATACACATATATGTATCAAATAAGGTTCTATGTATGTGCGTGAATATACACGAATATGTGCTTGTTTATGAATGGAGTATTTCTGATGTAACATATAAGCAATGTTTATCAGCGTTCACACTCTTTATCTCTGGGGAGGGGGACACAACCCCAGCACAAACGCCTTGACTTTGCACATGACCCTCATCTGTGGTATTAAAACCTTTTATGAAAAGTATGTGCCATTTTTACAACTAAAAAAATCTAACTATTAATTAATAAAATTGTCACGTAATAAGATGGAACTGCTGTGCCACATTTTCTAAGACGTGACTATTACGAGGATTCTAGTAATTTCAGAAATCCTTTAGGCAAAGGGACTGTCGCTAGGTCCGAATGAGAACGAACTTGCTGCGAAGCATCTCCCAGCGCAGACAGAGCTGCCTGAGCAGCTGTCAGCGAAGGACACAGAGCAGGGGCATTTGCGAGGCTCTGCCCCAGTCGTCACTCGCTCCACGGCTGTGCGGCTGCCAGCGGAATTCTGTTTCAAAACCTGTGCTGGTTTTGGTTGTCACACCTCTAGGGAGGAAACGTGGACTCTCAAAGCGAAATTCCTAGTCACGGTGTTTATATCCTTCTTGGTTTACTAGTCTTCTATTCTTTATCAAGTCTTCAACTGTGAGAAAGCACAGATGAACCGTGTCCTGTTTCTTTAAATGTGCAATACTGGAACTTAAGGTTGCAAAAATGACGGCCTTTAAGGTTATGGCATGTTGCCTTTTAATAACTCCTCGTTTTTCATCCCTCTATCAGCCTAATCTAAAAACGAAATCCCAGAGCAGACAGTGCCATGGCACGAAGGGCCAACACGGTGGAGCCAGCTAAGCCGGCTGCTCCTACTGTCTCAGTGGACTTCATAGAAATGATACTTCTAGAAGTCCATAGTTTTATGTCTGTTAAAGTTCATATGGGTTTTCAGACCAGGACCAGACCATTTGCTTCTATGCTTCCAGATAGGCCATTAAAGGGATACAGTATACTTAGGCTGTCACACCTAGTGACCATTTAAAAAGGAAAAAAAAAAATGCTACAGGAGATGATTTAATGTTGAAACCATATTAAATATGTGATTGTTCTGCTCACTTTTTTTTGGAAAGCACAAGTCCTAGAGGTTTTTGCTTTTTCAAAGATATATCATGTATCACACTCCTCATCAATAATGTAGGACTCTAATGCCTTTTTTAAAATTTTGGCACAATTTCCAAATGCAGCAGGACCCTTATGGTAGTCAGTACCTCATCATTTTTCGTATCAGGGATTTATTCGTGTCCTCAATTGGAGTTATTTGAATTGGCTCATAGCCACCTGTACCCTAAATTTTCTCTGGAAAATTTAGCATGCACAGAGAAATGTGAGACAGTATTTGATGAAAATTAAGTCCTTCATCCCAGCAGTAGCAGTCTGAGTAACTTACTGCTTGGCCAACTGTGTGGCTGAGTACAGGGAATGGAAGGTACTATCCGGAGCCAGATTCCAATCTGCCTCAAGGATTATATTTCTGTAATCACAACATTGCCTTGACAGTCCCACCAACTAGAAAAAAAAAAATATCCCAGCAGAAGCACAGTGATTAAATTCTCCTGCAGCATATTTTTTCAGCTTCTGGAAAGAATCTACCATAGGCCTTACTTCAAAAGATAGTAAAATTTAAAATTCAAAAGATAGTTCCTGTAAAATTCAAAAGATAGTTCCATTTATGAGACTGATATATGGACATAATTGCAACAAAACCATTCTCCCACAGGTAGAAATAATGCCAACAATTTTACTTTGAAATGACCACGGAGAGACTGGAAGTAAAACGCCTGTTCCTACATAACATTGCATACCATAGCAGTACTTTCAAAATGGTGATATGTGACCAAAATGTGATTCAGATGAGCAAAATGTCACCACCAGACCTTTAAAGTAAGTGCGGAGAAACAATCACATGCACGAACACTAGAAAAGCACTTTGCTGTGTCCAAGAGCAAAACAGAAATAAGCTCAGGAGACATCAGATTTAGCCAAAATCAGAATCCTTGGACACTCGCTTTTATTTTTGACTTATACCCAAGGCAAATAGATATTTGGACAGAAAGTTAGAAGACTTTTTCTCCTGATATTTCAGTTATCACAGAGTCCCTGATAGAGGTACCTTCAAGTACCATCCAATCCGTGGCAGGATTAGACGTTGCAATTCCACTACCAGACAGACATTTCTGGCTAGATTCCCACAGTGGTTTGCACTGAGAACTTTCTGGTAGGGGAAAGTAAACTAGGGAAAATAATATATTAGACTACCCCACACGTGGAAAATGGGGTTATCAGGTATGACCATGGGGCCTGACAAGTAACAGTTGAAGCATCCATCAGAAAGATCCAAACATCCCAGAAATCTGGGAGTGGAACTTAGTCAACAAGGGTTTGTCCTTGGGTCAAGGCTTACTTGGAGTAATGAAAACCAAAAATCTAGAAGAAAAACCTAAAATGAGGCCCCTCTCACTACTGCATCCAAGAGTCTAAAGTTATTAGCCTCCGTGCAACATTCCAATGACTGTCTTCTTGCTTAAGTGACATATGTTGACATATGTTGCTACTTTTGCTCTTGCTGTTTTTTTTTTTTTCAAGTCAATTAGGCTGCTTTCTATTATCACTCAACAAAGTTTAGACGTAAACGTTGTTAGAGTGCTCCATTTCCTGTAACCACAGTTCCCACACACGATTTTCTGCTCTGCAATTTAAACAGCACTTAAAATTGAGTGGTTCTGCAAACTAACTGTGGGCCTCTGCTGAATCCATTGCTCATCTCTATTGCAGCAAAAGGCAAAGATGGCTACACATAGGCAGTACGGAGCTGTACAAACAGCCCAAGCGGAACCAGTCCTGCAAGGCTATGGACTATACAGCCCAGCAGCCCGGGCCGACCCCTGGGTTACCTCTCTGAGGTACCGCCAAGCGCAGACAACTCCCATGCCACCTCACCATACCTCAGAGATATAGCACACAAGTTGACATTATCCATGTGGCACTTCCCAGCTCCTATATAATGAAATGGGGGGTGGGGTGGGGGGTAGGACATGCAAAGAGTCACTAAGTAGTCTTGATATATTTCATCTTGGAAATGGAAGTGGTTTTATAGTTATGTTTCTGCAGGACCTCCAGAGGGTTTAGAAGACCTCCAGACAATCTTGTGGTCTTCGGAGACTGGATGTAAAGAGAAGAAATAATATCATATTTTTTTTGAATTGATGGGTAGTTGCAGTAGAATTATGTGGTACAGGGGAAAAATGAATGCATAGGGGGAGGAGGGAGCAGTGCCATTAATACGAACATCCTTTGAATCTTTAAAATAAATTATACAGGTGAACACAGAAGTTCATGCTACTTGCTGGAAGCAATAAGGATCGAATTTTGTGGAACTCGTACTGTATTCCACAAATCTCCAGGTACCCTGCCTCTTTCTCAATGGGCTATCATGTTCTGTTGTACATAGTGGTAGCCCTTAAAAACTGGTGGCATGGTCTCAGATTCTTGCAGGAGAGAGACAGATTTATGGATTCCATCAGCTTCGTCCAGGGGTGCTGCCCAATCGCTGGGAGGGCATAGGTGATATGCTTGCTCACGTTCTCTTTGTCCATCTACCAGGGTCAAACAGCAGTTTCCAGGTCCTCATGGCCAAGGATCTTATAGTTCTGACGGCTTTCTAGGTAAGCAGCCAAATCTGGGTCCCCAGCTTGCTGTGCTCTGTCTTGAGGTGTCTTACCCTATAGGTTAATAGTGAAAAGGAAAGAGACACAAACACTCAATGTGAGATTAAAAAAAAAAAAAATCACAGCAACAGGGCTACCCAAAGATTACTTGCTAATAAGAATCCTTCTTATTAGGTGTTGGTGTTTTAGAATTCACAAGACACTTTCAAATTTATTATCTTATATATGCATTCTATCGGACACATGAGATTGGTAAGGTTAAAGAGAAAGAGTTTATCACTTTTGACAGGTGGGGTTTACATCTAAGGAAATAGAAGTTCACAGAGTCTGAGTATACAGGAGGTAACAGTGTGCGTAGTGAGTTTGGGACACAGATCCTTTCTGGAGGAAGGGAGACACAAATCACTCAATGAAAAAATAGGGAAACAGGTGTTTGCATCTCTAAGTCAGGACTTTTCCATCGTGCTCAACTCTGGGAATCAATGAGCAGAAACTGAAAGGAAAAGATCACCAAAAACAATTTGAAAGGTTTTCTTTCCTGCTTTCAAAGTCTTCAGTTGAGTTCTCCCCAGTTTATGGCTACTTCATCTCTCCAAAAAAAATGAGTTAACGTCTGAATACAAAATGATGGATGTTGATTAAAAAAATCTTGGGAGAGTTGGAAAGCACAAAGAAGAAAATAATAATTATCAATCATTCTTCTAAACTAAGACAAGCACTGTTACTCTTCCACTGAGTAACCATTTTCCTCTTTTTCTATTATACCTCTACGCATAATTATTTTTATAAAAATAAAACCACATTTTGCCATCTTCATTCCCGGCGTTCAGTTGTCGTGGTTGGTGGGCTGTGACTGAGCCAGGATACTGTGGAATCTGTTGGCTCTTGGTCCGACTGCCCAGAGGACCATAAACACCACTTCACACAGGCATTTGGAAAATGAAGTTCCAGAGAAACAAAAGCTGTTTTGGGAGGATAATGGAATCCCAGTGCATCTAACAGGTGGGATAGCGGATGTCTTCCCGTATGGAGTCATCATGGTTCTGACAGGTGGTGGAACAGCAGATGACATCCATCGGCCGACTGTGGCTTCATTTTTCAAGAAGCAGGATAGACTTCAGTCATCCTAGCAATCACTTGGTTCAATTTCATTCAGCTTTCTATGGATCAGTAATCTGATAAATAAATGAGCTCTTCTTTAAGGATCAAATTTATGGACTTGTGCTAACTGCCACCAATAAAGCACTCTTTACCATGAAAAAAAAACCCCACATTTTTGTTTACATACTATTATATAAACTTTCTAACTTAATTAAATATCACAAATTTTTTGTGTCATTAAATCTTCTACATCAACATTTTAAATGATCATGTAATTGCTTACAGCCTATTATACTTCTTTTTGTACATTTGTGTATACACACACACACACACACACGTATATACCTTTGATATTTTTAAAATAAGGCCAGTGAATAAAAGTCAGCAGTAAAAGGAGGGAGAGTGTCCATTCTTTTGAATGCTTATAGGTGTTACTTAACATTCCTTGGAATTTCTAATTTTTGTTCAGTGATACAGTGTTATCTACTTAAAAAGTTTCATTAAGTTCTAAGGAAAGGGTAGAGGCATGATCATTGTACCAAAGGAATAGTTCCATGCACAAATGCACACAAGTTTTATAAAAACTATCAAAGACTTTTCAGCCTCCATCTCAGCTATCCCAACAGATACTGTTGACCTCAATTCCACCTGCTCTAAGTAGCCTACGAGGGTATGTGAAGCAGATGATACAGGGGAAGTAACAATATCTCTAGACACTTTCTAAAATTTTACTTATTTAGTCAGGATTTAAGATTTAACCACTAGCTTAAAGTTCCTATAATAATTCTTATTCAACTTGTTTACAGCCTTAGTAGACTATCTTGTCTTTACTTCAGTAATAATGAGGTTGGAATTCACAGCTTCCAAATATTCAGAGAAATGGCTGAGGTGGGCCTTTGAGTTAATTTCTAAGGAACTGTTCTCTAATAAGAGAAATTCTCTGGATACTGCTTCTCTCCAACACACTCCAGGAGAAAATTCAGTTATAATTATCATATTTAGCTTTAACCTAGTATCAAGTTACAGAATGATAAAATTAAAGAATCCCTAAAAAGGAATAAAAGATAGCTGTATTACTTCATCTGGTAAGATCTCTAGAACATCACTTAAAAGTATATATAGTATGACTTCATCTGATTGGGAAAAAATGAGAGAGAGAAATAGACATGCTAACATGAGAAGAGAGATCATTAAATGTTTAATGGCATTTAGGGCTAGGTTGTAGGATTTCAAGTGATTTTTGTTTCTGCTTTTTATTTTGTGAATGTTTTTCTACATTGTTAGTTTTCCTTGTGAGGATGTACTATAATCATAAAAATAATAAAGTTATTTGCATTTTGAAAAAAAAAACACACACATACACAACCCAAAACAGGAAGAAATCTCAAAGAACATTGAGTCCATTTATCTGATTCAGAAATTCAGAAAGATAAAAAAGGGGGACCGGCTCATAAGCCAGCTTTCCCTATTCTCAGCTGGTTTGTCCTCTATTTTATGCATATCCTCCCCTTCTTGCCAATATCTGAGTTGAGCACAGGACTGGCCTTTGTATGATAAATAGGCAGCTGTCCTGCTGTGGCCTGCGTGGTCCCACAAGGTCCACCCTAGCCCACAGCCTGGCTCCCACCAATCCTGCTCACCAGGTGTGTGTTTCTCAGTCAGGTTAAACATCAAAACACCTGAGCACAAATACCATCTGGGAAGAATATGACATTTGAAGTAACATAGTCAATGAGCTAGCCCACAGGTAACAGACCATCTAGAAACCAGGACAGAGCTCCTCTGTGTCTGATATGCCTAGGGAGGAATTGAGGCAGCGGGGGGCCCGTCAGAGAGCAAGGGCGTTGGTGGGTGCCCAGGGAAGTGGAGAATTCTGTGCAATGCAACGGGCTCAGAGAGGAAAGAAAGGACCACTAGGGAGACAAAGTTATTTTTCACAGCACGCTGAGGTTTGAGGAAGCCCCAGGGCAAAATTGCACATAGGCATATTCTCATCACGTAAGTCAGTCTAATGGAGCTCAAGCCATTAATTAGGTGCCTGAGCCACTTATCTATGTGTCATGGCTACATTCATTAGCCCAAAACCTAGGTTACACAGTACTTGCTTAATGAAGGCCTTATCTATATGTTAAAATTCTTCTCTGCAACCCGCTACATTTACGTGGTTGGCCCTTTCCCGGAGTCTACCCAGGGAGCTTTAGAACTCTCACAGCTCATCAGGATCCTCTATGGGGTTGATCTTCTGTGTAAGCTCTTCTCTTTCCCTCTCTCTTTTTCTCCCTCTCAGTCCTGGGTCAACTCTACTAAGCTATACCTGCTTTGCCCCTCTTGCAACCCTTTCTCTTGGGTGCTCTCTGTAAACTGAAATGACTCATATGCCCAATCTCAGTCCTTCCAAACAGTGTCGGCTGAGGCCTCGGCTCTGCCTGCTGGCACTTTCTAATCAACGTTGGTGTATGTGCCACACTAGCAGTTTCTGGCCTCACTGCCATCTTATTAAAATAGCCGCACACTTTGAATCCAGATTTATGTAACTTCTGCTGCAGAGAAACTAGCCGCATTCCAAGCCACGATGCCGTAGGTACTGCTGTGGGCAACACGATGGATTATTCAAACCACAAGTGCAATCCAGCTTTGCTGCTGCTGTCACACATCGCCCTGCTGGGGCAGTGGGGCATTCTGTCACCAAATGAGAGCCATCGAGTCACTGAAACAACGCTGGACCGGATTGTCAAAGAGCTGAATTTGGATGTGGGTTCAGGTACTGGTCCAAGGCCATATTTAACTTTCTTTAGGTTTTATTCCTATACCTATCAATGACTGTCATCTCATTTCTGAGGCTGACTTTTAGGAAATGATAAAAGAAAACAAATGGCAAGAAACTTTTTTTACAAAAGAGAACGACATAAATGTGTCAGATTTAAGATTATAACTGTCTCAAAGCCAGGACTCACCATCCTCAGAGCCAATAGGGAATCGCTTTGGCACCCATATACGGGGCAACATAAATCACAGGCTCTATACTACACTAGATTAAGTACTGAAGGAGAAATCCCAAAGGGTTTCTCAGCAATCAGGCCAAAGTCTTTGAACGTGGTCCTGACCCCCCTCCTGGGGCTTTGGGCCTCACCTCCCCTTGACTCGGCTGCTGGCGTTCTTCAGGACAGCCCCGAAGCCCCAAGGCCAGCGTGTTCAGAGGTTTATGAAGCCCCATAGGCAAGCACACAGCCTCCCTTTGTGCTTATACATTTAAACTGCAGTTTCTCTAAATGAAGCACTCTATTTTTTCCTCCTTTTTCCAAAGCCCCAGGCACTTCCATAAGCGCAGAATGGACGCCTGTACTATGGGCACAAATGAAGGCAACGGTGCCCGCCATCTCGCCCAGTGGGAGGATGCTTGCACTCACTCATCGAGTTACCTTGGAGTCCGTCTTTCTCAGAGATGCTCCTGCGTCCACCAGAAGCTGGCACACAGCCCGGTTCCGCTGGCAGGCGGCCTTGTGCAGTGCAGTCTCACCCCTAAATCAAAGATGAAATGGGAAAGCACCCATAAAGGGGTTGGAGGCAGCAGGAGAGTGGTAAGGGGACGGTAGCCTGCCCACGCCGCTGATGTTGCGAGCTCCTTAGCCTCTTTCCCCACAGACAGCTTAGACCTCGGCAGCAGAGCACATTCGGGTGAGGCGGGCAAAGGGGTGTCTAAAAATTCCTTGAGTATCACCAGATATTATTAGACTGTAATATCTGACTCCAGCCTCTTTCCTAACAATGTTGGTTTACTAGGCTTAGAGATATTTTTTTTAAAAATTACTAATGTTTGCTTTAGGTTATATTCAGTGACACTGTTAAATAGACTGACGGTGTAGGTGTGTGTCTGAACGCAATCCTCTCTGTGCCTCCATTTGGGCAGAGCGTGAAGGGCACCGCAGCGTGGAGAGCCATGCGCCCTTCAGACATGTCACCCAGTGCTTAGGAGACCACCACTTGGCCACCAGGGAAAAGCCCCTGGGAACCCAACTTCAAAGAACCAGGCCAACACCCACTCTGCTCTACCCGCTCTGGGAACTGGGTGAGTGGCAGGCGGAAGGAGGGGCCGCGGGGGAGGGTATGTGACAGGCACAGTGAGACTCTGGGAGAGCTCGGGAGCCAAATCTCTCCCCAGTGGGCAGCAGGCCTGAGGCCAGCCACTCAGTGTGGGAAGAGGGCAAGGGAAAGTGGCGGTTTCCCCACCCCTGACAGGCAGTACATGGAGAAGGTTGTTCCCATTCTGAGCCCCAAAGTGTTTCATGAAAAATCAGTCACAAGCCCTTAGGGAAGGCGGCCTGGGTAAGTGAGGGCAGCACTTCCAGTGGCGCCAGTGGGACGAGCAGGTGTGTGGACCAGCCCCACGGAGCAGTGGACCTCTCCTTCCACGCCCGGTGACTCCCGCTCTACCCTGCTCGCTCGTCTCCACTCTTCACTCCTACTCCTGCGCCCACCCACTTAGCTACTCGCCGCCTCATTCCTCTCCACCCCTGTCTCCTTTAGCCTCTTTCAAATTTCTCTGAAGTTCTCTAGTGGTTCCCATTTGGCATTCAGAGTTAGTTGGACAGCCTTTCTTTGTTTCTGTTTGAGGACCAGTAGCTATTTTGCTGCCGTAGGAATAGGAAGGTTGAAGACAAACATTGTCCATTTAGGCTCCTTCCCAGAGTGGATGACCTTCTCAACTAGGGTTCCTCATCTGAACCACAGTACAGAAAATGACTGGAGTTACAATGCCCTCAGTGCTCCAGTGGTGGTACATAATTTCCATAATTGTTCCCGTTCTAGACTAGACAGAAGTGTCATTATCTGCAAAAGGATGCCTTAGGGCAGTAGGGCTTCATTTTATCACAAATCCCAGTTGAGAAAGAATAAATGTGATGGGTACACAAAAAAGCAAATGTATTTACACTTCTCAGCAGTCCAAGATGTACCAGTGGAGAAGTGTCTTCCTTGTAGGAAGTTCTATCAGATGAATAGCATTGACTATGCACACAAGCATTCATTATGACACACAATCCATGTGCATTGTGTAATTTTCAAATTATAAGATTAGCTTTGCATAGTTATAAATACAGCTGAAAGTGGAATTTTAATCAATGAAGCTAAAATCAGGTGAAAGTCCCTATAATGGTCCCCATAGACTATAGTCTTTTCCTGGATATGTTCTAAATAATCTAAACTACGTAAAGAAAGGAAACACTCACGTTTCGCTGTCTGCCATATCCAATAACTCGGAAGGTCCTAAGTAAAAAGAAAGTGAGACGTCCATCAAAAATAAGCTCAAAAAAACTGACCATTAACAGATAATCTATAGCTGCAGCACTAAAATGCCTTGAAAGCTGAGTAAAAACTATATTATGTGATAGAAGTAATAAGACCAAAAGAAGAATGAAAGGATCCCTCCACCTCCTCCTCACCAGTCTCCCAATCTCCACGAGCCATGTGAACAGCATGGTAGATACAAAAGAACGAAAGAACGGTGCGGTCTCTGCTGTCAAGGACCTTTCAGTCGAGCTGAAGAAATAAAATGAATTGAAATAGAATAACTTAAAAATAACTAAATGGCTAAGGAGAAAGGAAGGGGCCAAGCAGGTGGGCTTTAAGAACCCGAGACTTTGATTCTCTAGCTGCAGGCTGTTTGGGATGGGGCCTTATCTGTGTATTAGTAAAGCTGTAAGACACCATACATATCATCTAATTCAGTTTCCTTATTTTAAAATCTACTTTTTGTAAAGGTTCTCCTACCAGACCAGGAATACATGTTATAGATACATATTAAATGATTATAGATGCATCACTAAGAATTGAAATATTCTGAAATTTCACCATGTTTTATTTGTTCATTAACCCATTCAATAAGCAAGCACTGCTTAGAAAGTCCACCCTTATCTCTCTCCACCACTGTGTCTTTCCCTGAAATCCCTTGCCCGATTCAGCCTGCAGGTACCAGTTAAGACTTTTTTTTTTTTTTTTTTTTTTTTTTTTTTTTTTTTTTGAGACAGAGTCTCACTTTGTTGTCCAGGCTAGAGTGAGTGCCGTGGCGTCAGCCTAGCTCACAGCAACCTCAAACTCCTGGGCTCAAGCGATCCTCCTGCCTCAGCCTTCCGAGTAGCTGGGACTACAGGCATGTGCCACCATGCCCGGCTAATTTTTTCTATATATATATCAGTTGGCCAATTAATTTCTTTCTATTTATAGTAGAGACGGGGTCTCGCTCTTGCTCAGGCTGGTTTTGAACTCCTGACCTTGAGTAATCCGCCCGCCTCGGCCTCCCAAGAGCTAGGATTACAGGCGTGAGCCACAGCGCCCGGCCAAGACTTTGTTTTTTTTGATCAAGCCTTCTATGACTCCACTCCAAATATTGTATTAGACACTCTGCCTACATGATTCTTCACCTTATGTATTGATCCTGTTTCCTATAGTTGGGTGGTAAAATAATTTATCATCCAAATATCATCCAAATTTATCATCCAAATCCATCTCAAGCAAGTGGGGATATATGATAATAACATGGTCGTATTTATACTAATCATGACACTTGTAAAACATTTTAAAATCACTTGCTGATTTGTCTCCTTCCATAACTAGACTCTAGTCAGCCCCTTGGAGTTCCTGCCTATGCTTTGTCCATGACTGTCACTCCTCAGTGCCTAGCATAGAGCCTGGTGCCAAGAAGATGCTTAAAAATTGGTTGACTCGATGAATAAATATTCTAGGAAGTGCCAAACATGGTTCTGGGTTTTCAGTATTTTTGTCTTAAAAAAATATGACCCAGGTGATTGGCTCTCTGTATTGGGAATAATTTTCAATAATTACTAATATTTATTGAAAATTAACTTATTGAGCAGAAGAAGAAGAAGGGGAGAAGAGGCTATGACTGTTTAACCATTGGCTAAGGAGAAGTCATTGGCCAAGGAGAAGACGACTGAGATGTTACAGGACTTCACAATCCTCCTCCTCCTCATCTAAGAGCTAAACCATCCTGGCCTCCTCTCTCACCTCTCCTATTCACTGGGACCCAGCGAGCCTTCCCTTGCATTGCCTCTGCCATCCGTCCCTCCTATTTGTCCAATTTGACAAATAGACCTCCAGCGGGCCTCTGCCTGGGACACAATTAGCATGTAGAAACTGTTATTGGAAAGATAAAAAATAAGGTCTTGTATCATCGATTTCCAAGTTTCTAATATATCATATACACAGTTTACTCCCAAGTATTTAAACATTGAGACTCACAGTCTTTCACTTGGAACTACCCTTCCTAATTTGTTCCCAGGGTTCCATTTTTCAGAAAAGGTAAACTGGTCACTGCACAAATAACCATATCTTTCTTAGGCTTCTCGGGTCTAAGAGCTTGAAGCCTTCACTCTCCCTGTCCAGAACAGGCTTCCTTGTCTAACCACACACCTAAATCTCACATGTCCTTCAAAGCCCAGTCTGGCTCAAGATCTTCTTCTGAAAAGATGATCATGGATGGAAGAAATCTATCCCTTCTCTGAACTCCCATAACACTTATTTGGTACAAGGACTAGTACGTAAAATAAAAAGAAAAAATTATCGCTTATTGGTCCTACCCTTTTATTATGTATTTGCTTTTCAAATGTATGCCTTGCCTCCTTAAATCATTCTAGCTCCCTTGAGCATAAGAATACCTTTATTATTTTTGTATCCCTCTAGCACCTACCATATGCTAAGAATTCAACAAAAGTTAAACTCATTCCTTTTTGTTCCTCACTACTATGTAAGAAAACATGAATAATAATCCCTCCCCCCACCTCCGTGCAAAATAGTATATGGGGCCATAATCAGGCCGTAAATAATCGCTCCCTGGTTCAAAATCCCAGTTCTACCACTTACTAGATATTGGGCAAGTTTATTTAATCTCTTAGTCCCTTGGTTGTTGCATATGTAAAGTCAACTTAATAATAATATTTATCTCATAGGGTTGTTATGAGGTTTTAGGAGTCATTACAAGCAATATGCTTCAAAGAGTGCCTGGCCCACCACAGGCACTGCTCAAAGTTTAGACAGTATTAAGTGTCTTATTCTCTGGCAAAATACTGCAGGTCACGCTAAGTCAAGAAGTCGGAACATCATTGAAGGACCATGATGTAAAAGGGTCACTTCACTCCCACTTGCATTGGAAGCCACTTGTTGACTCAAAACATACATCTTGAGCACCAAGCACTCCAGGCCTATTTAACTGCAGACAAGGCTTTCCCCACATCAGGAGCAAAAGGCTCGCTGCACCCAGTCATCCTTTGAAAGAGCGCCTGTCACCTTCAGCAAACATTCTAAGCCATTCATTTTGAAAAGAATTCCATGAACACGAGCAGCCTAGCCCCGCTAGTGTAATAGTTCTGTTCCCATCAATACTGCTAATTGCACAAATATTTAGGCAACAGAGACCTTGTTTACTTTTCTCCTTTATTCGGCACTGTCATTCAGTGCTCTCAGAGCTGCACCACAGTGGGCCCCTGGTCCTCCCAGGCCTAAGCCTCTCCGCTAGGGAGGGAACACCAAAGCATTTTAATTGGGCTAGAATAGCAGTAATTTGACAATATGAAGGTGGGGGCAAGAAAAGTGACCTTTTTCCTGGCAATTTCTGACCACAATCACTACAAATGCAGCCACACCAGAATTATTCCAGAGATGACCTCCCATCTGCGAGCCAGGCAGGGCCCCAGGGCTCGTCACCCTCCCTCCTAACTCTTTAATCTTCTGCAGCTGGCAGGGGTGAGAGGAAGAGGCGCTAATACTAAAACAAGAAACGTTTGCTTTCAATTAATATCTAAAGAAACTCCAATTAAAGGTTTTGGGAGTGGCTCTGAAATAATCAATTTAATTAACCCCAATTTTTCTTATCCTTCCATCAACACAGATAATCCCCAAATAGCAGAACCTTTTGAACACTGGCCAAAAAGAGAGAAGGGTGGCAGCCAGCTCATGTAGATGGGCATGGGGAGCTAGTTTTAACTGCACAGGTACATATTCTAATCATCTTTTGGCTGGCTTTAAAATATGTTTGCATGGTGCTAGCAAGGAAGGGGGTGCAGAGGAAGAAACAGGAAGAGTGGATGCCAGCAGTGGCCTAACACAAGGCTGCCGTCTTCCTCCGTGTTTGGTCCAGCACCGACCAATTGAGAGCTGAGCTGCCACAGTACACTGTGATGTTTAATAGTGCCCTGTGTTTTTTAATAGCACTGGTGTAAGATTTGGAGGAGGGAGGACTAGAGAGAGACAAAAACCAACAAAGACCACACAGATTCTCTTGAAAGAACAAAAAAGTATAAATAATAGCACCTACGATTTTTTCAAAAAGAAAAAGAGAAAAATACAAGAGAAAAAAATAAAGAAGATTGAATTCCTTCAATGTATATCAATGGGCAACATTTGGGTTTGGTGCTTATTTTATATACACACATATATATATTCTGATGGTGGATACTATTCCATCACCCCTAAGGAATTTGAAGGAATGCCATCAAATCTTCCGCAGAGAACTCACTGTTGTTCCCTGAATAGAAAAAGAAATCTCAGGTTTCTGTCCCTCCCAGGTTTTACTAAAATGTTCACACTTCATTTCTCAGCTGACCTGCACCAAAAAAAAAAAAACAAAAAAAACCCTGTAGAATCCCTACTAAGGGAATATGAGTGCAAATTTCTCCATGAAATTTCCAGATGAAAACAATCACCGCTCTTCCAGAACCTGTACCAGTTGTCACTTGAGCTCTGTGCAAGTATTCACATGGAGCTACCCTGTACGTGGGAGTTTATGCATGTTTCATTTCCCTTGTTGGTTCTGGGAGTAGGAGGGCACAGACCATTTCATATATACATACAAGTTTTGGCAAGTAACCTAATCTTACCATGTTTTTCACCACCTGTCAAATGGAGATGAGAGCTTCCTGTGTAGGGTTGTTGTAAGAATTAAACGTGTTAATGTATTTAAAACACTTAAAACAGTAGAGGTTAGCAGTCAGTGATTATTACTGTAACTTTTTTTTTTTCTCAGAAATGCCTGGGACAAAATTGAAATGTTTTAATGAATGAATGAATAAAAGATATTTTTAAATCATTTGAGATCCCAGATAATATCACTTTCGCTTTTCGGAGAAAGAGCCATAATTGAAACATGGATCCCATAGACGGTGCTATACGGAAAAACGGTCAAGTCTGGAAATTACATTCTGTTAAGGGGACAAATACATCAATATTCAAGTGGCGCCCAGGAAATGCGCAAG